CGCATACTATTAGTAATTAAAAAAGATAAATGTGAGTTAAATGGAAAGAATTTTCAAGCTTTTTTTATGCAAAAGGATGGGAGCAAAATAAATCAACATTTTTAGACTAACATTTTGGTTGGCTTTCAGTTTTCAGATTATTTCTGCTGCTATATAGTTGAATCCGATTTGCCGAGAAACATTTGTTAAAAAACACTATTACCCACCGAATGATGAAGTCATGCCCTCCGGCATAGCAACAGTCAACAATGCTTCATGACGGGTGATATTCCAAAAATAGTGACTGCGCAGAATTTATGCATGCAAGGTTCACTATTATATGTATTCGCAAAAACATTCAGCATAAAATAATAAATACTGCATGAAGTTGAGTGTAACATTGAAAATTTTCACCCCAAGAAAACCATTGTCAACCGAGGCTCGATATCCTGAATCCTTGGATATCTTGAAGTTCTTTCTCAGTAATATAAAGTTTGAGATTGTATTATATAAATACTGCATGTAGTTGAGTGTAACCATGGCAACATTGAAAATTTTCAGCCTTAGAAAACCATTGTCAACCGATGCACAGCCGAGGTTGACAATGGTTTTCTTGGGGTGAAAATTTTCAATGTTACCCTCAATTGCAACTACATGAAGTATTTTTCATATCATACTGAATGTTTTATACAAATACACAGTACAGTGAGTCGCCCGCGTGGCGCAGTGGTTAGAGCGCCTGCTCTAGATTCGCGAAGTAAGGAGTTGATCCTTACGTCGCGGATTTGAATCCCACTGTGGGACGTGGAGACCGGTCCATTGGATGAGACCGTATAAATCGAGGTCCCGTGTCGCAGTAGGTGCTGGCACAAAAAAGATCCCTCACTGCTCAATGGCCGTAAGTGCAGAGTATAGGACAAAATTTGCAGCTCTCCACCGGCAAGTGGTGGCGTCTCCATATGAGTGAAAAATTCTCGAGAGGGACATTAAACAACATACAAACAAACAAACAATCACATTACAGTGAACCTTGCGCGCATAAATTCTGCGGAGTCAATATTTTTTTTGGAATATCACCTGTAGTCAAGCAATGTCGACTGTTGCTATCCTGGAGGGTGTGGCTTCATTATTCAGCGGGTAATAGTGTTTTTAACAAATGTTTCTTGATGAATCAGATTCAACTAATTTACATGAAAGTATAATATTAAAAATCATGACTCAGTCGGCCTTTAATCTATCTAAGAGTACTACAATAAGTAAATGTTTGGGTTTTTTAATACATATAATACAATACAGAACAATGTGTTTAGCAAAGAGACAATCTCATTTATGCAATATGTTGTAAAAATGACAATTTAAAAAAAATATCTTGGAGTGGGGGGGGGGGGGGGTCCTGAATCTGCCACTTTATATGTACCTGAAAGTGGTCAATAAGTCACAACTTACTTAGGGAAGTCATTGATTACTAGTCTGATAATTAGTATGGGTTAGGAATTAACAAGATATATAGTATAGATTGAAATAGTAATACCTGCTTAACTGGGTTAGCAGAATAACAATGAAACTCCAAAAATTTTAAATACAGTCAAACCTTGATATCTAAGGATTCAAGATATCCAGGGCAAAATACCCAAAGAATAAGGGTTTGGGACTTCAAAATCCCTTTCAACATATCCATGATATTCAATATATCAGTGTCATGGATACTGAAGTTCAACTTAAGTAATTATTGCTTGAAAACTTGATATGTTTATATGCATATACATTATGCATATGCACTATATGTTTGCACTATATATATACACAAACTAATTCTCATTAATTAGGAAACAGCAATATGTTGTTATACAGATATCATGATTTATCGAGTTTGGTAATGCATTGAATTCGCACATTTTAGGGTAAATACAATGTACAGAGCTACAGTTTATTAGACTTTTTAATAAGATTTCTTGTCGCCTGCATGACGCAGTGGTTAGGGTGTCTGCTCTAGAGTCGCGGAGTAAGGAGTTGATCCTTACGTCACAGGTTCGAATCCCACTGCGGGTCGTGGAGACCGGTCCTTTGGATGAGACTGTATAAACAAAGGTCCCTTTTCACAGTAAGTGCTGGCTCGAAAAATATCCCTCACTGGCCCTGAGTGCCGAGTATAGGTCAACATTTGTAGCCCTACACCAGCAAGTGGTAGCATCTCTATATGAATGAAAAATTCTCAAGAGGGACATTAAACAACAAACAATCAATCGATCAACAAGATTTATTAACTGGAATGAAATCTATAAGACATCAGGCCTAAGGAAAAAAACATGCTTGTATACATGTACCATTACTTGCTAATAAAAAATAGGGTTGATAGGTAAAATTTTGTTTTTATTTTGTTCAAATTTTTTTTATAAAGGCATAAACATTGCTATTCATTTTTTTTAATAACAATTTGAAATTTTCGCAGAAAGATTGGAAATGACAAGGGTTAAAAACATGAAGAATGCTGAAAAAAAGATTTTTAGGGAGTGCCAACTCACTTCGACATACATGTATCCCTGTATTTGAGATATCAGTGTTCTAGATAACAACCTTCATGAAAAGAAATTAAAATCTATAACAGGACATGAATGCCTTACCCAGGATAAGTTTTGATGAAACAAGGAAAAAAGCATCAGGCTTCTATGGTTCAAAATCAGAGTAAAGGAGGAATGATGAGGTCAAGGTCAAAGGAAACTTTATAAAGGTTTGAAGTATTATGACACAGTTGAATAACTCTCACCAATTTTGTGTTATTGTACGTTTGATAGAAATATTATGAATACTTTCTTTAAAAAAAAGAGCTGTAACTAAAATAAATAGTAAGATTAATGATTAACAAAAGGAACAGGTCATAATTTGGACACAGTTGAAATGTTATCACCAATATGTGTCAGTGCAAGTGCATAGATAAAAATAAATTAAAAGATTTTTTTAAGACTAAGCTACATGCAAAATAAGGAATAGCGAGGTCAAGGTCAAAGGGAAGATCAAGATAAAAAAAATTGACATAGTTTATCTCATATATGTGTATAGATAAAAATATCTTGAATAATTTCTTTGAAATTGAGCTAAATGCAGATTGAAATAGTTGGGTCAATATCATAGGGGTCACAATAAAAAATTCAGGACACATTTGAATACTTCTTACCAACATGTGATAGTACACTGTATGTGTATTTGGATAAAAAAAAAAGTTCCTTTAAAACTGAACAAAATGCAAAATGAAAAAGCTAAGTCAAGGTAAAAAAAAATGGACACATTTGAATAGTTCTCACAATATATCATTGTGTGAATTTTGATAAAGATATCTTGAATACTAAGTATTTCCTTTGAAAATCAGCTGAATGTTAAATTCAAGTGTAGTAAAGTCAATATCATAGGGATAGTCAGACTTTCAGAGGATTGTTGGAAACATGCATTAAATTATAATTATTTCTGATTTAATTGTAATATTATTTTGTTTAGTTTTGAGGATAGGGGAATCATATTCAACATTTTCTATTATATTGTCAATTTCTATCAGAGCCTTCCTATTTGTGGATTTTTTTATGCACTGTACAGCAAATACCTGACCATCCTTAGATTTATTTGCAACTTTTATGAGCCTATATAGCAGGCAACACATGTTTTTTCTTGGAACACTCTAGATAAACATACGTATGTACAAGTAAATATTTTTTGGAAAGAATTTTCAGCATAATGTCATGAACCACAGAAAGCATACAAAATAATGCAACATCTGCTTAATAAGTATATTTGGCTTCGTATTCTTAATTACTAGGATAATTTGAATTGCAATATCAATTACATTCAAGTTTCCACAAATTTATTATCCATGAATAAGAGACTAGGCAATATTATTCACCAGAGTGGGACCAGTGCATAAACATAGATTTATAAAGTCTTAAATAAATTGGTCTCATACCTTCCACTGCAGTGAAAGAATATATTTCCCGTCCTCATTTTGTATGAAAATTAAATCAAAGTAAATTAAAGTTCATAAATACCCCTGTACATATATACAATATAATATGACCTTTAAATTTCTCCTTCATCAGCCATGTTGAGGCTGTGATATAGATGGCTACTACTTGAAGGGTACAGACTCCATTCAGTTGCAAAATATTTGGTGATTTCCTTTTCTAAATGAAATAATTTTGGGAATTTTAAAAGTGCATGATTTTGGATATCATGCAACCTGAAAATGTTTGAAAGTTGTATAAAATCTTACTTGACCATGACATTTTTTATTTCTAAGGAAATATGACATGCATTGGATTGTTTTTCTTGTAATTCTAGCAGGGATATATCCACTGCAATTCAATCAAGGATGTAAAGAGATTTTCCTCTGGTAAATTGTATTCTATACATCCTCAGAGGCTGAAGCAGCAAGCTAACTTGTAATACAAGATTTGTTTGTATAGCAAGCCAACTGGTGTAATTTAGTATACATGTACTATGTACAGCTTGAGCTGAAGGTAAAATATTGTGATGTCACAAGGCATAGTTAAAAAGCACTGGGGCCTTCTGCACACATGTATGGAATACAACACAGAGTAAATCCCCTACACCCTTGATTCAGCCTCAAGGTGTATGGAATACAATCCAGGGTAAATCCCTGTACACTCTTGACTAAAAGTATATTATATGCTTCTAACATACTGTCTAAATCTTAAATGTAGCATACTTTCTAAATCTAAATTGATTAATTAATTTCCTGATAATTTGATTATATTGATTAATTTGACAGTTTTGCACTGAAGGCCAGGTCTAAATTGTCCAAAAACTAGGAGGAACCTGTGATTTGAGGGTTTATTTCATGTATTTGAATAACTACATGTATTCATGAGTCTTTTCTCAATTCATAATAAAATCAGGGACATTTATTAGGAGGGGGTTCGGGGGGGGGGGGGCGCCAACTCCCCTGTTATAACCAAAATTATTCGTATAAAGATTAAGAAATTTTTATTTTGTTGTTGCTAAATATTGCATTTATGATTTGTGTCCCAGGCCCTTAATCTTTAGACACCCTTCTGGATCCGCCACTGCCCTACAGTTACTGAGTTATATAGATTATGTATGTAGGGTCTTTTGTTGTTAAAATGACTTGTCCCACCCTAAAATGGCCAAAATAAGTACCTTTGCCATCATACTTTGCAACTGTCCCACTCTAAAAGTCATAAATATTGCCTGCATATTACAAGATTTTCACTTTTCAGAAATGTGCTGGTTACCGGAAGTTCACAAGAACCAGTTAAGCGAAGGTAACACCCTACAACATGAACATGAACTGATCACTGAGACTGCATTGCGTATGAAAGACAGTTTTGTAAGTATTTGTAAGCTTTAAAGTATAAAAATCTTCTCTTGTTACTTTTGAAGATGGAAATTTAGAAGATGCTTGAAGTTCATCGTATGTACTGTGAACTTTGGAAAGTTGTCACTTAGTTGAGAAAATTCGAACTAGGTCAGTTGTATGTGTCAATTTTTCGGAACGATAATCTTTAGGGTAGACTGGGGTAATTTCGACCACTTCTGCTGATTTGTGGCTTTCAATCCACAAAACACGACTGTTTTCAAATGTACTAGTTTAAAATTGATTCAAAGTAATTGAGAATGATTTTTTCTTCATATTTCTGCTTTAGGAGTTAAAAAATGCATAACAAATAATGAATTGGTTTAGAAATAAGTAAGCATGTTGCATGGGTTAATTTCGACCGGCTCGGGGTAATTTCGACCACAACAAACATCAAAAAGAAAGATAACTCTTGCAATGCATGTAAACTTTACCTGTCTCATTTTATTCAAAATTTATGGTCCGAGAAACTATACTGCCTTATTTAGAAAATACGTGTATCTATCTCTCTCAATAAAAAGATTAAAATGGATAGGTACTAGTATCCATACAGTAAAGGATTGGGTTGGGTTACTTAAGCTTTTCAATGTTGTCTTATAGACATCTTAATTCCTATTTCGATTCTAAATTCTGCTTTTAATTCGCTAACTCTATATTTTAAAATTGTGTTATAAAGTTATGCAAATAGATGAATTTTTCTCAGATTCCACAAATAATTTCTTTGTTATGATTTTTAAATTGTTCAACCCAAAAGGGATTTTATTTAATATCGTCTTTTCACAACAGAATCATTTAAATTGTATATATATATGTATAAGGTTTGAGCATAGCATTAGAATTGCGTATATTTTTCTTCACTAATTTTTACCATATACACATTCATTTGGAATGCGTTGTTTTACGTATTTTACGTGTTTTTTCTTTTAATTCTTAAAAGAGATATATCCTGAGAAATTCGATCAAGTCAATTAAATACATCGTCGGAAACCCACGGTCCGTCAAAAACATTCGTAACAATGGGAAAAAAAATACAAAAACCTGATTTTTTTTTACACATATATTCAATATTGCCTGCATCCTCTCTTTTGTTAATTTGACGGGTTTGGAATCTTATGGATTGCTCTCGCCATGTGTTATTTCAAAGCTAGTGCCGACTCCGTTTTCACTCGCACGTCGATCAGTGATGCACCCTCGTGAACGGCCCGGACAATACATGGCCATAGGAACCGGGGGAGGGGGGCACGGGGGGGCGTGCCCCCAATAATTTTGCCGATATATAGATTACTATAGAAAACATAGATACTATATGCTTGTGCCCCCTCAATAAAAACGTCTGATGAGTTTTTTTTTTTTTTTTTTTTTTTTGCTTGTCAAGAAATTTTGGTAGTTGATAGTGCCCCCTCAACTGAAAATGTATGGCTGTGCCCCGCCCCCCCCCCCCCAACTGAAATTGCTTCCAACGGGCCTGCAATATATATAGCTAGGCATGCATATGTTAATTAATCTGACATATTTTTTTTTAAATATAAAAGGTTATATGTAGTTAATATTGTAAATATACAGTATAATCATTTTTTTGGAAGATCTAACTCTGCATTAAACAGCTGTTAAAGACAACTTACACATATTTCAGAATAAGTGGTCGAATTTACCCCGCGTCCTTAAAGTCAGTAGGGCTAATTTCGACCAAAATCATATGGACGTTTCTTGTGCAATTTGAGAGAAATCCAAGATAAATTTGTAAAATTCTGCAACTTAGAGATATTCCAAGAAAAAATAAAACAATCTTAATTTAATTCGTGCTAAAGACTGTTGAACAAGGTCAAACTTAAAAAGAGGTTGTACGAGTTGTCTCTCTTGCATTTCCTTGATCAAATCAAGCACACTAAAGACGGGGACTTCGAACGTCAAACTGGAGACATAAATAATAGTAAAAATAGTATATTTATATCTCTGATCAAGCTATATTTGCGATGAATAATTATACTAGGAAACACTATTTGAGGAATAGTTTTCTATAATTCCGAATAAATTAAACTTGTCTTAACACTTCCGTAGATCTTTGTGGTGTTGTGTTCCTGTGGTCGAAATTAAACGGTGGTCGAAATTACCCTGACTTACCCTATAGTGCCCGTTTTATTCATTTTTTATACACGTACAATGAACACAGTTGGGCCTGCATTACAGTCTATCCTTGTTTGGGATTGGGAAACACAGAAAAGTTACAGTGTCTGTTTAAGGGTTTTTGGTCAACTCGTAACCAGCCTCGTATGATCGTATCTAGGTCAGATCTCCTCCTACAAGTAAGAGCCTCGGTTAAACGTCCCTACGCTCCTTATATACCTCGGAGCGCCAAGTCAAAAGTATATCGCCGTGAACCTCTAGCATGTTGAGTAGATCAGATCAAACCCAATAGGTCAACTCATATTAATGAAACGACAAAATTCAACTCGTAACCAGGAGAATTGTTACAAGCTGACTCCCCTATATAAATTGATGACAACTCATAACTTAACAATATTATACAATTAATTACCCCTTATGCGGTCAACATGGTAAAATAAGGACCCGAGACCTGGCCCACGAGGTGACCTGACCTGACCGAGGCCGCGTAGCGGCCGAGGTCAGGTCAGGTCAGCGAGTGGGCCAGGTCGAGGGTCCTTATTTTACCATGTTGAACTCATAAGGGGTAATCAATTGTTTTATTATACCGATATAAGTTAAGGCAATTTTTGTAAGCTTAATTACTAAAATAATCAATTACATGTATAAGACCTACGAACTGTTGTCAGTGTTCCATCGGGATCGGGATTCGCTAGTGAAGTTGTTTACTTTTCGGCTGCTAGTCTTGTAAGTTTTTGCACCGCCGATTTATTAAAACACTCTGTGATTGTCAGTAACATTGCATTTTTATAAATTCACAGATACCATTCCCGACTACAATGACAATCTGGTGCAGACTTTTACTGTACAAGAGAGCCGAGTCTGCGTTCGTTGAATTTGACATTGTATTGTAACGAAAGTTAATTTCACTGAAAACGATAAATGTTATGACGCATCTAAAGGCCAATCGTATTCCGTATCCTAAAAATACTATACATATTTTTATAACGGCAATTTTTGTAATGTACAATCATTACTGTATGCATATTTTTTTTTAATTTGAATGGAATTTGGATTAACAGGTCATTTTTAGCGGTCATTAATTTTATTGACCGGTCATTATACCCCACGTGCAATGATTCCTAGGTCATTATTGCTGTAAACGGTACTTTTTGGAGTCATTATTGAGTTTAAAAGCCTTCTAAAAAGCCAATCAAATTTGAGTATTCTTAATAGAGGTATAATAATAACAATTTATTACCTCTTCTGAGGTCAACATGGTGAAATACGGACCCAAGACTTGGTCTACGAGGTGAACTGACCTGACCATAGATAGAATGTTCTATCATTAAAATGATAAATGTCCTACGGACCCTGTTTAACAATAGAATGCATTCCGTGTATTGTCTATGTAGCAAAGAAAATACGGGAGATAACTCTAACTTTGTGCATTTACTATGAAATATCCCGAGAGTTCTGAATGTCAACATCTTGTGTAAATTTGAAACGAGTAAAAAATGTTGGTGAAAAAGTGTTGAATTCTTCCATTATATGGATTAAATTTTTAGATGAAAGGTATTTACAGTCTCAAAAGGTTTTTTATGATTAATTTGACTGTTATTTTCAATGCAACTTCATTAATTTTCTCCAAAATCATTTCGGAGCGATTCTGCAATTTTCTGCTATATTATTGGTATATGGGAGGGATTCTAACTGTAGTGAGGGCCTGTCCCAAGACACAGTTAGATTATTGTAATTAACCTGACCAAGGCCACGTAGTGGCCGAGGTCATGTATGGTTAGCAAGTCGGTCATGTCAAGGGTCCTTCTTTTCACCATGTGGAACTCATATGGGGTATCAATTGTTTTACAATACCGATAAGAAAATTATATATTATACACTTGAGTGCATGATATTGCATTACATTACCAATGTTTTTTGAATGGGATCTTGAATCGCTAGTGAAGTTGTTTATGCTGACTTCTGCAAGTTATGTTAGTTTTTGCATCATGATTTACTGATTAAAACAATTTTTGATTGACAGTAACATGCATTAAATTGTTATGCCCTGTTCACACGGAGAGTTTAATTCGCAGTAAATTAATGCGAAGTAAATAATGTGAATTAAAATAATGCAAATTAAATTGTGTTCACACTACAGCTTATGCGAAGTAAACTAATGGGAATTAAAATTTTATTTCTACAGTAAGGCTATTCAGTAAGGCTATTATGATGTCATTTTCAAATCACGTTGCCTTATGCGCAGCAAACCCATATTACATTCTGTTATAGTCTCTATGCACATTTCAGTGATTAACATAATTTTACTTTGTTTTCCACTAAAAAATAGCATAAGTATCCATATCTGTCCACAGACATGTGGCATGTGACTTAATTGTGCCATTACGCATGCGTCAAAATTTAATTCGAATTAGCTTCGCTTAGCGTTCACACGGAGCTAATGCGAAGTAATTTAATGTGCAGTTAATTAATTTGAATTAAACTAATTCGCATTAAATTCCCTGTGCGAATGCGATTCAAATTTAATTTGCAGTAACTTATGTTTAATTCGAATTAAACTCTCCGTGTGAACAGGGCATTATAATTGAAGTGAACTTTTACTGAGCAAAATGAAAATCTGGCGCAGAATTTTACTATAAAGAAGAGCCATGTCTGCATTTCCTGGAATTGTAACAAAATTTTCAAATGAATAAACAAATAAATTTTTTGACTTATAGGCCCTAGATCTGTTGTATTCCGTATCATAAACAGACAATGCAAATTTTATAACACACTTTTTTAACGTATAATCATTATTCTATGCATTAAGTCAGGGATCTATATACTAACGGGATAGGCATCTCCTTCAGTACCATGTTTACTCGCCCAAAACACTACAAGTTTTTCAAACTATGTTTATTCTCAGTAAAAAATTTGTTTTCCGATAAATGTAATCTGTTCTTTTTGTTTATTGGAATGGATATTTAATAAATTTTAAAGTATACGTTGTAAAATAATCTAAATGTAAAGCAAATTACCACCAAATTTTGCAATTCTCGGCCGATCAGGGGCATGTGTTGATTTAACATGTTTAAGTGATTCAAATTAAGAGATAATTATGGGATATTCCAAATTATTGACTCAACGAAATTGAGCCTATGATATTTTCTGAAAGAAGAACAGAGGCCAGTTTATATATATAATTATAATAGTAACTTGATCCGAAGAGCCGTATCATGTCAAGTTGACATGCATGGATCATCAGATCAAATGAGTTTGATCTGATGATCCGCGCCTGTCAACGAGACGTAATATGGGTCTCAGGATCAAGTTACTGTTATAATGATAAATTTATTATATACCCCTTTACAACTAGCAAAATATAATAAAAGGAAACTTTTAGGATCAATTACATAACTTTTATCCGTTAAGCAAACCATTTTATCAAGGAACTTTTTGATCCGTGAGAATAAAAACAGCATTTATCTGTGTCAACTCAAAACCATAATATGTTTGTATGTTAACATGTTAAGATTTGAATTGCCTTGGGTACAACTTGACAATGGCCATATGACATTGGGTGGCAGGGGATAGTTTCATACTATAGATTAGTACACGCTGTCAAATTTCTTTAAAAACTGAGATATCCCCTGATTGATGTGATATTTTATGTAGAAAAATGAATAGAATAATTATGGGATACATGTACATGTGCAGTGTAGCAGAGCTTGCTGAGAAAAATGATGTGCATCATGTAGGTGTCACTCTGATGCTTAGCATATATAGAGTTGTAAATGCAAAACTAAGACATTTGGTCAGTCGCAGAGGAAATTCAGCTGAAAAGCCGTGGTGTGCATCTCAGAGGGAAGGTGAATGGCCCCAGATCAATTGGTGAATTTTCATTAGGGCATGCATTGTTCTACAGAATACTGGGTGTTTTATCCTGCTCGCTCGGGAATGGGATGGGCTGTATAGGTGCGACAGCAGTCCAAATCTTGGAAAAACAAGCCAAAATCTTTGGAGACCTCCAAGTGCATTTTCGGTACATGTGCACTTTAATATGTAGGTTACATGTTATACGTTGACACATTTTTTGAGCTATAGATATATGAAATGCAATTAATTAGCACCCAAAAAACTGCCCCAAACTATGATCTGTTTTTATTGACCTCATGCATATGCCTACCCCCTCGGCACATGTTTGGCATTGAAAAAAAAAATTATCCCCTGCCACCTTGATAACAGATATGTGGAAATAAATTTTCTGTTTTTAGAACTTCATGGAGATTTGTCATCTATTACAGCAAGTATTTAGAATAAAATATATTTAAACCAAAATCATTTTTTAATGCCAACTTTTAGAGATCAAAGAGCGAGCCTAGATAATTAATTAGAATTTGTTAGTATGGTATTTCATTGTACATTTAAGGCCATTCCAAGTTTTTTCAATGTTTAGCGTCCGCGTGTGCCTTGGATTTTTTGACATCCCTTAACAAAAAAAAAAAACAAACAAACAAACAAAATCAGGAGTCCTGAAATTGTTTATTCTGGTCGATTCACTGAATTCTGTCAATTTCTCTAAGTATTTGTCTACAATATGCCATATTTGGAATATTTTAAGCATTTAATACCTTGATTTTGCTGAAGAATAAATATTTCTACGAGAAAAATAGATTAATGGAATCATATTCTTTGAATGACATCATTTTTATGGCTATAATGACTTGTGTTTTACTTTTTGGTTTGTGTGTTTTTTGCGAATAGGTAGGGAAGTATTTGAAAGATGGGTGGATGCTAAACATAGAAAAAACTTGGAATGGCCTAAGGTAATATTTTCCATATGCATCAATTTCATAAATCTGTGGTGCAGCCATGCAAAATGACTTGATATTTTGGAGTTAGGAACCACATCAGAGGAAAAGTTTGTTGCTTAGCCAGTGGATGTCAATATGTTGATTGGTGGCTCTGATTTTATTAGGTCACCTGAGTCACTCAGGTGACCTATTGCTACATGTATCTGTTTTCATCCGTCGTCGTGCGGGTGTGTGTCTTGCGTAAACTTTTTACATTTTCAACTTCTTCTCAAGAACCACCGGGCCAATTTCAACCAAACTTGCAACAAAGTATCCTTGGGTAAAGGTAATTCAAGTTTGTTCAAATGAAGCACCACACCGTCTTCCAAGGGGAGATAACTAAGAATTAGTGAAAAATTAATGGCATCTTTTAAAAATCTTCTTCTCAAGAACCACTGGACCAGGTAAGATGAAATTTATGTGGAAACATCCTCAGGTAGTGTAGACTCAAGTTTGTTAAAATCATAACTCCCAGGGGTAGGGTGGGGCCACAATGGACGAACAAAGTTTTACATTATAGGAATACATAGGAAAAATCTTTAAAAATCTTCTTCTCCAGAACCACTGGGCCAAGAAAGATAAAACTTACGTGGAAACATCCCCAGGTAGTGTAGATTCAAGTTTGTTCAAATCATGACCCCTGGGCAGGGGTGTGCAATTACAAAAATTAGTTACTAGCCTGGGCTAGTGGAAGTAACAAAGTTACTAGCTCGAGGTTGACAATCATCACTAGCCCATTAACTACCGAAAACAATACATGTATAAGTATAACAAAAAGGTAAAAAAAAAAAAAAATTAAGTTGAAATAAATAAAACAAATAATGGTTTCCACTATGTTATTGTCAGGTACTTCTCCCTATTTTTATTGAATATAATTGTGACAGTCACTGAAACGACTGGCGATAGCAACACACAATACATATATGTTGAAAAGAATTAAAGATTATGATTTTACAACAAGTTAATTCGTACATCAATTCAGTCGATGTAAATATACATATACTTTCGTTTCAGATTTACTAGCCCGACAGGCTAATGCAGTATAGATTTATGATAGCCCAACCTCTAAAATTGGTAGCCCTGAGCGTTGGGCAATGGTAATTGCACACCCCTGCCGGGGGCAGGGCGGGTCACAATGGGAGATCAAAGTTTTACATGGGAATACATTGGAAAAATCTTCTCCAGAACCACTGGGCCAAGAAAGATGAAACTGATGTAGAAACATCTTCAGGTAGTGTAGATTCAAATTTCTTAAAATGATGATCCCCGGGGAGGGTGGGGCCATAATGAACAATGAAATTTTTACATTGGAATACGTAGGAAAAATCTTGAAAAAATTATTTTCTCAAGAACAGCAAAGCCATGATTGGTTATATTTACATGGAAGCATCCTCAGGTAATATAGAGTGGGGCCACAATTTATGATCAAAGATTTACATATGAATACATAGGAAAAATCTTTAACAATCTTCTTCTCAAGAATAGCAAAGCCATGATTTGTCTTATTTATATGGAAGCATCCTTGGGTAATGTAAATTCAAATTTGTTCAAATCATGACCCCCTGGGGTAGGGAGGGGACACAACATGTGATCAAATTTTAGTTAGGAATATATATGAAAGATCATTTAAAAATTTTCTTCTCAAGAACAACAAAGCCATGATTAGTCATTTTAATACAGAAACATCTTCAGGTGCTGTAGATCACTAAATTTTCGGGACACTTCATTTTCGCGAGATAGTCACTGACTCCTCATTAGCGAGACAGAATATTCACGAAATGTGTTTGCTGTATATAATCTTTAGGAATACTAAGATAAGTGAGAATGAAATTTTCACGAGCACACTGTCTCACGTAATTACGCAAAAATAAAGTTCTTGTGAATAAAAAGTGTTTTACAGTAGTGTAGATTCAAGATTATTCAAATTATGACCCTCGGGGGTAGGGTGGGGGCATATTAGAAAATAAAACTTATAGGAAAAAAATCTAAATGGGGGACAGATTAGAACTTAATTTATAAGTTGTTACTGAATATTAGACTAATTATTTCAAAGATCATGATCATCCTATTTTTCTTGCTTTTGGGCAACAAATTAAGGTTCTATCAGTTTATTTTATACTCTATGGATCTTCTATGGATTATTGTTTTATACTCACGTGACCGTTAAGGCCCTTGGGCCTCTTGTTATATGATACATCATGGATATCATTTAATTTCGATGATGAATACCAAGAGTGCAGACTGCAATGAACTTACAAACTAGAAAATCAGGCTTTCTTGCATTTTGTGGGGTCAGCCAAATGGCACAGTGCACATTTTACACTAATACAGTGGCTATACAAGCTATAATTTGGGTCCATTAAAAATGAATTTGTAATTTTTTTTATTTGTTTACCGAATAAAATTATGAAAATGTTGTAAATCACACTTGAAATTGAACATGTGATTTAGATGGCAAATCATAATTATTGATTTTCGTTTGTGTCGGCATCCCGGTTAAAGTTTTAGGAGCAAGTCCATTCCCAAGTAACTATAAGCCATACCTGGACCCAACTTACATGGATGATGCATCTAGGGATGGACAATACTAGACTTGCTTCAGATACTGGATCTGACCTAAATTTTTCTAGATGAGTGACCAGGTTAAAGTTTTTGGAGCAAGTCCATGCATTTCCAAGTAACTAAGCCCTACCTGAACCAAAGTTGCATGGAGGATGCACCTAGGGATGGACACTACCAGACTTGCTTTGGATGCTGGATCTAACCTTTATTTTCCAGATGAGTAATTATTAGCCTTACCAGAACCAAACTAGCATGGAATGATGTATCTAAAGATGGACACAAGAAGACTTGCTTTTGATGCTGAATCTGACCTACATTTTTCAGATATGTGACCAGAGTAATGTCTTTGGAGTAGCTCTATCACTATATGACATGTTATGACTAAACTTGCATGGATGACGAAACTAGGGATGGACACTACCAGACATGCTATGGATGCTGGAACTGACCTACATTTTCTTTATGAGTAAACAGTTTAAGTTTAAAGTTTTTGGAGCAGGTCTATTCCCATGCAACTATAAGTCCTACTTTAACCAAACTTGCATTGATAATTGATCTCACACAAAATTGGTACAACCTTACAACCTACAACCTGGTACAACCTTGGTACAACCTTGATTTACCTTACTTATAGATAACACATGTACCATTCATTGAGCTTTGTAATCTTTGATTACCTATGTTTATATGTTTTAAAAAAAAATCAATAAACAGTTAACTTTTTTGTAAAAAGAATCACTAGTCAACCAAGAAACTTGTTTTCCCTTAGATCCAACACAAGTTTTGGTGGTCATTTGATTACAGGCAAAGAATTGATTAAAATTTAAAAAAAATCTTCTAATATTTGGTCGATAAAATATTTCAGGAGGGATCATTTCAATGACAAAACAAAATGTTAACAATGGTTTTCAAAAGGGTGTCAATTTCATTTGTTACCCTCCAAAACAGGCACCATTTATATAGTATGTTATGAATTAAAGCTTATGTATTCCCTGATCACATCTATTTTCAGAGAAGACGAATGTCACCTTCGTCAGAAGCAGATTTTTACTGCCAGGCTGGCTTTGACCAGAAAGGTTTTGAGATCAAATTTATATCAGACTATAAAAGTAAGTTTATATTATTTATTTACTCTCAACATCTGTGGTTTTGTTTTGTAAAGTGGATGGATGTAGAAAGAATGATAATATTGCTTGAATTTCATATTTTTTCATTACATGATTATAATTTTATATGCTCTTAATTTATAGTTTTGTGCAAAAAAGTTAAAATCCAGATTGATCTGTATTTAAATTTAAGTTTGTATATTTTTTCCAAAAAATATTTTTTGTATAATTTTTAACATAAATGATGTTTAAACAAATTGGAAATACTGGGGCTGATTTTAGAGCAATCCCCTAGTTACAATATGATGTCACACAAAGACATATTTAGCAGAAGACTTATACCTGGAAAATAAGATCTCAGAATCTGAATTGATAAATTTTTTTGTAATATTTTGTGTCTATAAGTAAGTCTTTTATTGAACCTATTTGACCAAAGTGAGCATCGTGGCCCATGGGCCTCTTGTTTGAAGACAGTTTTAATTTTTAAAAGGTGATGTTGAATCTAAATGCTTTGATGTTTTAGACATCCAAATGGCTAGCTCAGATGTGGAAGTGGAATCGGACCCTTTTAGTTGGGAATTCAATGGAAATTCATTTGACAGTGATGATGATGATGAGATTAATTCAGGTAATATATATAAATATAATTATACAAGTTGCACTACCCAGTCTTCTGTTAAGCTAATTTCATGATATCATAATGTCATAAAGAGGGATTTAATATTTATCATGTTTATTCACATGTTTTTGGACACAAACTATTTTTTGAGGCGCATCCCTAACAGCGATGTGGCCTCATTGCAGTCGACCCCCATTTCTTTTTTTCAATTACTGCGGCGACAAAGGACTCCACAATATTGATTCTAAATACGCCATTGAAAATAGAGCAAATGTATATTGACAAGTTGGTGATATTCATTGTCTATTTTAAATACCAAATAACATAAAATCTCACATATATATGTTGTTTATACTTTGAAAGCAACAAAGATAACAAAAAAGAAACAATTACAAAACAAAACAAAAATAGAGAAAGAGAGAAAACAACAACAAACAAACATGTGCTACGTGGAGTAAGATCTATTTACATCGCAACAGCTCTTGCCATAAATTATTAGGCCTTGTAATACGACATTACTTGTACGAATATCTGAGAAAAATATACAATAATTTTATTTTATAAAACATCACTAACAGTAGGAACAAGATGGTTGTTTTTATAGAAATAGAAGGGAAATCATTAATTTATTTTTTCACTTGATGAAACGAATAGTAAGATGTTCAACTGAATAAATTTTTGCAACAAGGGCCACCTTTCGCAGTCAAGACGAACTCTAAAAACGGCGTGAACTCCGAAAACGAAGTCTTTGGCTCCATCATGCATTGCGGCAAAATGGTGTCCGATGTAAACAAACGATGGATTGTCGTTCGCTTTCTTCAAATATACGGCTGCATAATGGCAGTATTTAGTGCATTGTGACTTTACTTTAATTTTTGTTGAATGGATAATTATATTTATGAAATTATTTTGTGGATATTGACTTATTTATTGCTTCAAACTCTTGCATAGTAGTAAATTGGATTATACGACATCGAATTCAATACTGCCGGTAAGAATTATTTTCTTATTTGATTTATTGTCTCCTTGATTTAAATTTTATGTTGTTCCTACGATATCTAGGTGCTTTTACTTGTTTTTGAAGACACCCAGCTTGTATTATTTTAATTAGAAAATGCGCATTTTTCACTACGGAGCAGAGATATTCACAGGTTTATATTTAGAAGACATGTTGTGACCTTAATTTCTAGAAGAGTGGTTTTTAAAGATTTCATTTTGATAGCTAATAGTTTTAAAAATGTTTTCATTATAATATATGTTGGTATGTGATAAAAAAAAATCGGTAAATAACCATGGTAAGAACTTACGCGTTCAATTCAGATGTCGTACACAAATAAAAATACTGGAATGCTAATATATGTGTAAAATTCAGTCAAGTTTTTAACAGTTACAAGTTTTTGTAGACCCATCATTTTTGCCAAAAAATCGCTATTTTTTGTGCGTGTGCGCATGCGCGGACTCTATTTTCGAAGTCTTTTTCAGTCTCAATTTCTTACTTCCGGAAAAGCAAAGCTGTTTTTGGAGTTCGTCTAGACTGTTTTGGGAAAAAAATTCCACGAGGAAGGGTGACACGAAACGGTGAAATGATCGGTTTTTGGTAAAATGTCAGTTGAGTATGATAAAATATCTGATAAAAAATTGCAATGACAGTGGATTTCAATTTATAGGTTTACTAATACCGTATAAACAAAGACTTTTTGAGTTAATTTTATCGAAAATATCGGAAGAAACGTGTTTCATAGTATACCGTATACCACTCCCGATTGTTTTTTTTTTCAGTCCGAATTATATGAACATTTCATGTATCCCACTATGGTTTACGTATTATGTCATTTTGATTGATAAAACTAGTCTAAGACAAAGTATTGATATTTAAAAAAAAAATGCTCATAATGAAAGAAACGGAAAAAATTCAGATATGAAATTATATAGAATTATTCAATAATCATTCATTTCTAAATTCTTGTTCATTATTTCATCTTTCTACTATGTTTATAATGAAAGAATAAAAAAAATAAAAGTATAATTAAAATCAATTATAGATTAATTTAAATATCAATGAATTATAATTGATATATCAGACTATCTTTAAAAAAATGTTTGTTTGCCCTCTTCCGACCGACTAAAAAAATGCCACGACTCAAAATCTTTTTTTAACCTCAAAGAAATGATATTTTTAATTTTTATTTTTATTCCTGATTTTTTTTCGTTCCCTCAAGATGTATGTCGAATTTTTCTGAGTAAAAAAATTTGAGTTTTCTACCTTCAGTGCGATGCATCTCTCAGGCCTTCAGGCCTTTGATTTTATGTAATGCCACCATCAGTATCAATACTTCATAAAGATAAGCTTCACCCAGTCTGACTATTAAGCTAGATTTATAATAAGGTTACGAACAAGGATATATTTTCATCAAGGAGCAGTGGTCTAGCTTCCATTTGTTGCAGTGTCTCCTAAATTGTGCACATCATTGAAGAACCATTTATAAAATTTTCAAATCAATCAGCCAGAACATTGTTATAGCAAACATGCTTAAAATGAATTTATATGCTTACATTGAAGTGATTTCCTTCCCCATAGATTTAAAAGTGTTGTAAATGGAAAGTTTATGTTTATAAAGAATTAAATATTTTGGTCCCCAGCTCTTTGCTATTGTAAGCATGTTTTACTGTATTACTCCCTGTTGTTTGAATAATTAATTTATCTTTATTTTGTGTGATGCCATTTTAACCATTTCTACTAGTGTTGTCAACGAGTACCTGGTTAACCGGTTAATCAGCAAACAATGCGAGTATCAGTTAGTAAAACTGCTACTCAGTTACTCGGATATATAGACAAAAGTAGAAAAGAAATGTTATTTTGTTCAGAAATGAATGTACACCTCTACCATTTTATTTACCGTTATTTAACGTTAGACTTGATCTAGCGTTTCACAAACATGACCGATTTGTTTTGATAACACTTAGTTTTCACAGTTTATCTAATCGATGGCTTTGATTGCCAAGCAGTATACAATGTAGAAAACCTGGGTTAATTATAATTACCTCACTTATACTGTGCTAGTCCACAGTACAGGATTAATTTTAAACAAGATGCCTCCACAGCCATCAAAAGCATAGATTCCGAAATGTTTTAAAAGAATTTAAATCCGAAAGGTGTAAAATATGTAAAATGAAATTAACATACACAGAAACAAAACTAAAGTAAGTTTATATTTAGGACATCCGCAAAAATTGCCAACTATTACAGGATATTCAAGAACAAATTCATTTAGAAGCTTTAATTTGTCTTTGTGTAATTAAAAATAAATAAATGAAATGCATCTACAGTGCATTTGCGTTTGATATTGGCCAGTATGTAAATGTTAAACATGGAAATTGTAATGACGTTACATATATTACAGTTATTATTGAATACATACCATGAGCAAGGATGTTTAAAGGTCTAAAAAAAAATCCATCCGTGTAACCGTTTACTTGATCAGAAAAGTAAGCGAGTAACCGGTTACTAAAAATTGTCCGATTTGACAACACTTATAAGTATCAACACATAATTATAAGATTGGATGCTGCTCGGTTCGAATGGCCACAGTCATTTTTATGACATAATTGAAGACATATTACTGGCATTTTGTTTTTCTCACATTACTTGAATTCTTGGTTGCCTACAACAAAAATATTTAAATTGATATATGTAACAGAGATTTAATTTGCAAATTTAAAAATAATGTTACAGTAGTTAAGAACTGGAATTAGTATAAAAGTAAGAAGAACTGGTATACATTGCTAACACAATGAAGCATCGGAAAAGTATTGAAATTATGAAGAATAAGAATCAGAGTGAAATGTATTGAGCATGGATATGAAAAGAAGTGACATACTGTTATGAATGAGATTGAGTGGCCTCTTGCTTTTACTTAAGGATTTTCCAAAACACTGATTGATTTGTATTTGAGAATAAATTGTAGGATTCTTATGAGATGCAAATCCAATTTAAAAGCTTCATCAAATTAAAGACAGACTGAATTATATGTCAAAAGAATGTGAAATGGCATTTCATTTTGAAATAAAAACATGATTTCAACTCAGAAAAACCAATGGGGTACAAAGTAAACAAACTGGAGTGACATATTACCTAGATTCTCTCTAATGGTTAATACATGTATGTTTAATTTGGGATGATTATTTTGATTCCATATTTCTTCTATGATATGCATTATAGATAAGTCTACTAAACATGTTTTATAGAGTTCACTACCCCAGGAGGTTAAATATTATGATTAGATATTATATCATGTTTTTTGTTTTGTTGTTTGTTTGTTTGGCGGGGGGGGGGGGGGGGGGGGGTTGCTGTTTACCAATCTCCTATGCAGAGTAGTCGTTCGTTCCTCTCTCAAACCTCTGCAATGGGCTCGCGTCAAGATTTTTGACATAACGTAAAAAACATAATATTTCAAGGATTATTTCTTTATTATTACTTTCATTCTGAATGAAATATATTCATGTTACAGACATACATTTTTAGGGAAAAAAATATAAATTTTGCTATTTTCTATTCAGGGATATACTTTCATTGTTTATAATACTAGTTGAGCCATATATAATTTATCCATAGTAGGAACAAGTTGATGATGAATTTACTGCAAAGGAAATGTAGTTTGTTTTAACATTGCCAAATCACTCATTGTGTTCATAGTTAAGTGCTAGGTATTGCAAATTAAAAATCCTATTACAATACCTTGGATACATTGCAATATTAAATTTTGTATTGAAATATATTACAATATAACATTATTTCTATCTTTTTTATTTTTTTTTTTTCTTTTTTCATCAAAGACGAAACATGTAGTATATTTTTTTCCTTCATTCCATAGCAACATTGATGTGAAGCCAGCAATTTTTTTCATGCTACGTACAGTATCTAATAATCTCTGCATTAGTCACATACCTCAGTATTTGTGTCGACGTTTTGAGTTTCTATCTTTAACTTTAAAATTTATCACGCAGATGTAGTGAATTTCCGTGTCAGAGGACAGTAATTGCACACGTAGTGATTTTCCTTCCCAGAGTATATTATTTACACACACATGTAGTGAGTTTCCTTGCCAGAGTACATTATTTACACATATGTAGTGAGTTTCCTTGCCAGAGTATATTATTTACACAGATGTAGTGAGTTTCCTTGTCTGTTTAAAATTATCACACACATGTAGTGAGTTTCCTTGCCAGAGTAAATTATTTACACAGATGTAGTGAGTTTCCTTGCCAAAGTACATTATTTGCACACATGTAGTGAGTTTCCTTGCCAGGGTAAATTATTTACACTCATGTAGTGAGTTTCCTTGCCAGAGTACATTATTTACACATATGTAGTGAGTTTCCTTGCCAGAGTATATTATTTACACACACGTAGTGAGTTTCCTTGTCTGTTTAAAATTATCATACACATGTAGTGAGTTTCCTTGCCAGAGTACATTATTTGCACACATGTAGTAAGTTTCCTTGCCAGAGTACATTATTTACACACATGTAGTGAGTTTCCATGCCAGAGTACATTATTAACACACATGTAGTGAGTTTCCTTGCCAGAGTGCATTATTTACCCACATGTAGTGAGTTTCCCTGTCTGTATACATTTATCACACAGATGTTGTGAGTTTCCTTGCATTGGTTTATTTTCATTTTCGATCAATGTTTGGAATCAGCTTCTAGTGTTTCAATGTTATCGATTATAATCAGACACCAGATTTCTACTTTACAAAGCATAATTTTGAAAATTTAAATTCAAAAGTAATGAGAATCTTTTATCAAGTATATTTTTAGAATCTACACACCTAGCTTAATTAAAAATCAAAACAAAAAAAAGGGGTTAATGTGCTTCTCTTGGCGCTATTGAGCATTTAGTTTGACTTTTTTGCACTGTAAATACGTCTTAACAGAAATCAATTTTTAAAGTTTTTCCTCCAATATTTTTTTCAAATAAATTATGGGAACAAACACAGTCTTATTTCACCTTGAATATATAGGTGTATTAAAATTTGTGACAACAAAAAATTTTCAAATTACTTCGCAAGTTCAATTATTTGACCTTTTTGCACTCAGAAAATATTTTTCTGGCATTAAAAAATTTATCAAGCAATAAAATATCTTGAAAGTAATGACATTTTACTGAATTTAAGAAGAATGGTTAAAAGTATTTTATATATTCAGAAAAGAAAATTAAAAGTGGGGGTCTGTGATGTTAATTTTTAGATATTACCAAAATAGTGCTAATTTTAAGCTTAATTTAATTTTTTTCTGGATTTTCACAATATATTTGCTATACTTATCAAATATAATGATAGAATTCATGATATTTTATTTGATATATAATTTAGGACCAGCATAAAACAATTCATGGCTCAGAATAACTCTGTGTGTAGGCTGCATGGAAAAATAGGAATCCAAACTTAGCATACTTTAAATACTTTGAAAGAGAAAGAAATGATCATTTTCTTCTAAAAAAAACCTTCCGCCACAAAATATACTGTATGTGTCCATAAAATAGTGTATTCAAAATTTAGCGAAATCACTGGGTTTTGAGGTGTTGGCGACATCATGAATTAGCGCTCTAAATGTCTGTACCATATATTGTATTTATAAATGATTTCTTAGTGGTATTCATGAATTAGGGCATTGTTGTCTGCACCAAGGGCCCCCTAAAATATGAAGCCTGCTTTTTTAAGTACACATACAGTAGTTCCTCACTTAATGCTTTTGGTATGGAATTTAATCATGGAGTTTTAACTGAATATATTTTAATTGGTATTGTAGAATCCAAATTTATTGTAAGAACTAAAACATTATGCAAAAGTGGAAATATAGGTTAAGACAAAAATCTACTCAAAAGCTCAGGAGCATTTTACTTCTTCTGGAGAACCACTTAGCAATTTTAATTTGTTTAAATGAATGGTGACCAACTTTTCAAGGAGAAGTAGCTATGAAACAGTGAAAATTTGATTCATATAAAAGTCTCCTTTTTATAAACCATTGAAACTTATGTGGAAGTGTCCTGACATGGTATAGATTCAAGTTTGCATGTTCAAATCTGACTTAATGGGGTAGGTGGAACCAGTATGGAATCAATATTTTTTTTACATCAACATATAAAAAAAAATGTCATAATAAGATGCGGTCATAACATGGTAGTTTGTTCAATTGTCTTTTTGTAATTAAAAATGAATAAATGAAGTGCATCTACAGTGGGGTAGGATAGGGCTACAATGAAGGATTGAAGTTTTTCATTGGAATGTATGTCACAACAGGACATTGATTAGTGATATTAATGTCCTAGCTGTTATCCTCAGAAAGTGCTGTACAATTTTTTTCCCAATCATGGTTCCTAGAGGTACCCGTAGAGTGGCACAACAATAGTGGATTAAAGTTTTTTGTGGGAATATAAAGGAAAAAATGTTTAAAATAAAAAAGAAATGGAATTTTTTTTTTAAATACAATGTATTTTGTGATAAAGAACAAACAGCAGCATTTTTTTTTCTTCCATAACTGGTACCATTGAACAGAGCCATTCCACCAAAAATGTTAATTATTCCTAGTTTGAGAGCATTAATATTTTTCATCAAATTTTGAATTCGTCTATTTTTATGAGGAAAAAATTGTAAAATGCTAAGTTCAAGATCTTTGGGATTGGTATTTTGACATGTTTGACTACTTTGTATGGACATTCTTTAAATAGTGCACTGTGCACAAATTTGGTTGAGAATGCACATTTAGTTAAGTATTTTAGTATATCCCTATTCGTTCAAGCTATATATACTGTCCTGTCTGTCCACTTTATTTTGCAAGTCATCTAAATATTTAAGTGGTAGCCAAAGAAATTCATTTTCAGGTGATTGATTAGTTTTTGTAGATGTGTATGAATTTTGATCTCTCCCCTGAAGCTAAGCTGAAGTGAAGTAATAATTCTGTTGAACATGAATTGTTAGATATCAAATGAATTCCAAACTTTAAGACTTCGTTTCAATATGAAGGGATATGTTAAGATTCGAGCATTGATTGGTGTATACAATTAAAAGAATGTCTTTGTGCTTGCATGATGAACTGGGTTGAAAAATTTTGAAAATATTAAATGTTTCCCTCAGCTTGTTGTGATCCTCCTGGACATCCAAGTGTTTTCGACATTGATGAAGATTTTGTCAATCTCTCTCTTGGACCAAACCAAGAAATGATGGTTTTAAGAAGATTATAGGATATGTCATAGAATACGAAGACCCCACCACTTGAGGCAGGCTAATGACTACCCAGTAGATGAGTGTGTTTATGAGGGTGAGTAACTGATTACTTGTTGACACATGTATCTTTCTTATGAACTAGTAAGCGGATTTACATGTCCTTTTGTTGCATGTAATTAGTATATTATGGCTGAAAACTGTGAAAAGATGTTTTACAAAAGTGATTCTTGAAATTTGTTTTGTTTACAAAACTTGAATTTGAGAGTTTTTTCATCAGTGAAGGGATTAAAAAAGGACAAGGAATACAACTTCCACATACAGGCCAAGAATCTTGAAGGTTTTCAAATTAGTGAGTCTAGTGATGTGATTGGTCCCATAACTCCCAAGCCCAAATACAGTAAGTATATTTGAAAAAAATTATAACATTTTAAAAAACAATTACCATATTGTACTTTATTTTCAATTATTTTTTCTTTCACGTTTTTAAACTTTTATTTTAGCCAAGGTTTTGCCACCTGGTGTACCAGAGGCTGTCAACAATTCTATAACTTTTTCTGAAATGGGAACCACCTAAACATAATGGTGGCTGTAAAATTACAGGTACTAATTTAAAAGTAGAATAAAAAAAGAAAAAGGGAAATGTTGATCTCTGTTCAAAACCACATAAACACTGTAGCAGTTGATAATATTGATTATCTTTGTAGACTACCTTGTAGAAGAGAGGTTTAAGGGAACAGAGAAATGAGTACCCCTGCACTGACCCCTCTTTACTGTCACCGATCTTCCTCAGGACTCAGAGTGGGAGTTTAGAGTTACAGCTGATAACTTTGCTGGAAACTGTGAGCCCAGTCTGTGCTCACCAGCATACAAAATCCAGGAGAAGATTGGTATGTTGTCAAGTTAATAAATGTATCGTACACTATTATGGTACTAGAAAAAAGATTTGGAGGTCAAATTAAACCATAATGTGTATTTTCTTCTCAAAGCCCATAATACTCTCACTTTACTGGTCAGGAGCTGAAATTTATGTGAAAGCTTCCTGATGTAATAAAGATTTTAAATTGTTCAAAAAATGGCCTTTGAGGTAGATGGGGCCACAATAGGGGATCAAAGATTTACCTTGAAATATATACATACATTTATGTACTGGTTAAAATCTTTACGAATCCTCTTAAGAACAACTGGACCACAAAAAGTATTTTTAAACCTTCTTGTAGCTTCCTTTTTGTTCAAATCATGGCCAAAGGGAGGAAGGAAGGAGGGGGGGGGGGATAGTGGATTCAGAGACCCTTTAGAGTTAGGATAGGGTCATAATATGAGTTCACAATTTTGCATGAGAAAATTAAGGAGAAAAACTCTTTATAAACATTAAGAAAAGCTTCTTTTACATGGGAAATGTTGTAGCCCATGGGACTCTTCTTTGCATGCATAGTAAAGGCAAAAAGAAAAAAATAGATAACCCCTATTGTATTCATAAATTTGAATCTTACTTTTTAAGAAAAGTGTTATTTTCCAATTTAATATCTAATTTGAATGTTTTGACAGAGTCTTTTGCAATTGGGCAGGATGAGGAATCACACCAATCATTTGTAAATGAAAGCAGCAGTCATGATGTTGTCAATGAGAATGGTAATCTATATTTATGATGTTGTTTCGATGTTACAAATTAAAAGTTAACCCCATAAAAATGAACAGTCTTAAAATGATAATTTCTTTTTTAGAATTTTAAATAGGACATGATACAGGGCCACTTTTAAGTGATGAAGCAGACGAGTATGATGATGGTTATGATGATGAATCATACCATCCTTCAAGCGATGAAAAAAGCTGTGATGAAGATACCATTAATGATCTTGGTAATAAAGCTGAAAACAGAACTTTCTTAAGCTCAAGTAAGCTTTTCTGATCAAAGTTTGTCCATTGTCGATCTCCAGCGTCACTGTTGTTTCAAATTTTCAGCTCCTTCTCAAGAACCACTGTGTCAATTTCAACCAAACTTGCCACAAAGTATTCTTCGGTGGGGGATTCAAGTTTGTTCACATGAAAGGCATCACCCTATTTTAAGGGGATATAATCAAAAATAAGTGCAAATTTGATGGCATCTTTAAAAAAATTTTCTCCAGAAACAATGGGCAGAGTTGTTTACTTGTACAGCTTTTTAGTATTTTCCATGAATCTTCGAGTAAAAAAGTGCTCTACAGATTCACGTTGAAAATATACAGATTTTCCCTAAAGACGGAAAAAATCAGAGTCGTTCCCGAAATTTGCCAATCAGTTTGATAAAGAAGCTTGTTGATTGAAGTGGTCTTATCAAAAATGATCTAAAAACAATATAATTACGGCAAATGTAAAATATGTAAGCAACAGTAGACAGCATATGGTGACTTGCGTAGTTAGTGCTTAGTATTTGTATAACAAGGGGTTCTTCATATAAAAATGTCTAATAAGCTGAGTTGCATTTTTACTGACAAACTGCTCAAAATACTGACAACTTCTAGAATACTGACATCAGTTAGAAAAGTTAAACAGGTCTGAGTGGGCCAGAAAAATTATTCTCCAGAACAGCAAAGCCATGACAAGTCATATTAATACAGAAGCATTCTCAGGTAATGTAGCTTGAAGTTTTATCAACAAATGACCCCTGGCAGAAGGGTGGGGACACAATGGGGCATAAGACTTTTACATGGAATTATATAGAAAATGTCTTTAAAGGCCTTCTTCTCAAGAACAACAAAGCCATGATTTGTTATATTAATACAGGAGTATTTTTCAGGTAGTGTACATTCAAATTTATTCAAATCATAACATCAAGGGGTAGGATGGGAGAAGTAGTTTCAGGTTTGTTCAAATCATCACCCACAGGGCATAGGGTGGCACCAATTGTATAATTACTCAAACTTTCCAATACTGAACTGATTTCTGCTTTTCTCTTGCAAAAGGGCTCAGGTGTCATGGACCATGGGCCTCTTGTATAAGGTGCTATGTATTACATTGTACAATATGTAGATTGTTTAAAGTGAATTAAAATTCTGGCAGAATTTCTGTCTTGAATTTTAAGTATGACTGTTTCTTTATTACAGTTAAGGATTAATTCCATAAGTTGTTTTTTTTCTCCAGACATGATCACAGTCTGATAAATTGACAAAATTCATTTTAAATAAATTACTTTCCTTTGCATTACATTAACATGATGTTCATTAGCCAGCATTATAAATTATAAATATCTCCATAAGGAGCTTACATAGAGTGTTTCAATCATGCCTAACAGATTGAAGTATGGAAAAACAACTTTCATACCTCTTCATTAGGTTTGAATGGGTAAGATGAGGCCATAATAGGCAATCAAAGCTTTACATAGGGATATATAGGGGGGAAATGTGCAGGGCCATTGTGACTTGGGTGAGCCATGTGGCCCATTGGCCTCTTCTATAAAAATAAAGATGAATCCCTTTTGTCAATACATGTACATATATAATAATTTCAGATATGCCCAGTAAGCCTCTCAAATCTGAAATGCAGCAGAAACAAGCTGCACTTGCAAGTGACAGCGAAAAGGACAGTGAATGTGAAGATGATCATGATGATGTCGGCAAAGTTTTACCACAGTCAGAGAAGCAAAAGACCAGGTTTTTAGAGGCCAAAAACATCGTCTGGAAACTATGATAATAAAAAACATTCATGTCTCTTTTGTGAGAAGTTTTGCCAGCAGGCAGTTGATAGTATGCATATCATATAAGCCCATAGCTCTTTAAGTACAAAAAATTGTGAGATTCATTTTTGCATATAGGTTCAGGATGGAGCTGAATATTGAAAAAATATATCCTATAAATTTTTTTTTCATGGACATGTAGCAGACAGCTGTTTGCATAATTTAAGCAAGTAATTATTTTTTAACCAAAATTTGTGAAATTTATCGCTCATGACCCATTGTTCATGCAAGGTTTACCTATTTATATTGACACTGCAACAGGCCCATAGAACCCCCCCCCCCCACACTTTTTCTGAGTATAGTATTTTGCTATAGTAAAGTATCCTTTATATCCTGGTTGCCCCTCCCCCCCCCTTTTTGTTGCAATAAGGCCAGTTCAGTAAATAATGTTTTTTTTTGCTTGTCAGATATTTTTTGAAGTCCCCCCTACTTTTGAAACCCTTGCTATGGGCTGTAAATTGAAGTTTTAAAAAATCCTTTACTGGTGAACATCTAGCAGGCAAACTAGCAGGCATAAAATTAAATATGAAGATTATGAATAGTAATCAAACTCAAAAGTCCATTAGAATAATCCATATTCGTAGCAAAGCAAACATGGACCTCTAAAATTAATCTTAATTAATGCTTAGCCCTCTAATTGAAGGCTTCTTCATGTTTCAGGCCCATGAAAAGGCAGAGTTAGTCATAAATTAGAATGTTTTATACAGTATTAGCCAGTATACCTTATCATCTTTACTTTTGAACTTCTAGGAGTTCAGCTGCATCAATATGATAATAAATATAGAATTCTTGTGAAAATTTACGATTTTTGTTGCATGGGTCTAGATTTCTAGATCCAGGCGGTTTTGAAATGACCACAGCCTGAGAAATTCATAATACTCAGGTAATAGTCATAGCCTAGGGCCTTTTGTTGCATTTTAAACACAGGAAGTTATTAACTGCGTGATATTTATATTTCTTGCTTGGTTTTCAGCTTTAAGCTTAAAGAGTTTTTTTTATTTCAAAACTTGTATGTTGTTTAATGCACTAAGAAAATGCCACTATATTTTGCACAAATACTGACTGATTGTCCTTGGTTGTTCTGTGAAAATAAACTTATTTTGGATACCTTAAAAATTAACAGCAAGAATTATCTATTAACACTTGGCTTATACATGTGTATCTTATTTCATGTCAGCATTCTTTTTATGTACTTTTTTGTATAGTTGATGCAATTAAATTGTTTCATGCAAACAAACCGTCTTTTTTGTTTGATCTTTCAAAATGTTGTAAAACATTTGAGCAAAGGGATAAGAAAACTAAAGGGTGCTGTATGAACTGCATTTCGTAAAAAATCATGGTTTTAGAGACCAACATATCTGAGCAATGGGATTTTTAAATGCTGAATTGGAAAATGAAATGATAGAATGTTATGCATAAAAAAACAATGAAGTAGACTTTCCCCACCAAAGTAATTTCAGTTTTTTGAAGTCATTAAATTGCAAGAATAAATAAGAGGGATCATTATTTTTCCCCTTATTTCAGGTCCGTAGAACGCGGAGGCTACCCCCCCCCTTTTCTGAATATACTATATTACTATTGTAAATTTTCCTTTGAATGCTGGTTGTGGTGTCATCCACATAAAAAAGAACGAGATGTTATTACATGAACAGTAGTTAAGTAATTTGTAATCCTATAAAATTCTTGTTAAGAAAAAAATAAACTCTTTAAGATCATAAAAAACATAATGATTGCAATTAAAATTGGGGAACGATTTTCAATTTCTACTTGTCTTACTCAATGCAACAGAAAAAAAAACCCAAAACGAATATTCTTGACGAAGCAAGTCTTGAATCAACGCACACTCGGCAATTCATTGCCGTCAGCGACGTAAAAGCAGAGGGGAGGGGTAGCTTGGCCCCTCCTTTTTTCAAACTTAAAAGTTTTATTTTTAATTTACTGTGAAAGTGTTCATTAACCCCCCCCCCCCCCATACACACACTGTTTTGTTCTGTATTTAAATGCGGTCATTTTATTGTAAAGAAATTTTTTGGAGGGTTCACAAAAGTTCAACCCACCAATAGGATTTTCGACTTTTTGAAGTAAACCTATTTCTCTTGCTTGCCAAAGATTTTCGGGTATTAAGTTGTATTTTCTGCCCCCCCCCCCCCCCCCCGACTTTCAAAAACGATGTTACGTGCCTGGCCGTTAATACTTTTAAATCTTTGTCATGACTGTTAATTTATTCTTCTCATTTCATTTGCTTTATTTTAATCTATATACAGATGTTGAAAGCCAATTTTTTATCTTTTAACTTTATCGGATATCCTTTGACAATTTTTTTTTTCTATAGCATACAGATTTCATGCAGACATTGTCATGTATTTTCGACAATTTTTTGGAAAAATTGGTGTTTTTACGGGAAACGCATTCAAAATTTACTGAATGTAGTGATTTTCTTGTATAATATCTTACAAGAGTGTTTATGTACTGAGTTTCCTGTGTGTGTCCTGGTAAAGCCATGTAGTGACTTGTCAACTTCCGGTGTGTGATTGAGCAAAATCACGTGACCAAATGTAGTGACTTTTAGGTGAAAAATCATTTTTTCATTATTTGAATTTTCATCTTTCTGAACCTCATTTGCATATACAAAGACCCATAGAATCACAGTTATGGTCTGTTTATCTTGTTAGCATTGCTGGAACATAGTGTAGTGACTTTCAGGTGTAAAACCTCGTGTAGTGAGAATTGCGGTTGTACACGTATGGGTGTGTGTGTGTGTGTGTGATCCTAATTGTTGTTCTAACAATTTACTGATATGTTGTTTTAACTATAATGAATGGTAGCTGGAGATCACTTGAATTAAAGTTTTTATTATCATTTATCGTATGATGAATTAAATCAAATTTCATCAATGGGAGAAATCTTTTCTTTTATGATTCAATTTTGGTACCAAAGGGGGGAAAATGAATATATTTATAAATAAAGTTTTACTCGTCTTCATCTGCTGTGAATAAAATATTGTTCAAAAACTTTTTTAATTGCAACTTTTAAATTGATAAATAAATCATGATGCGGTTATAGCTTGATATATTATATGTTATATGTGTACTTAGAAAAACGTACTAAATCACCATAAAATAACTTGCTGAGGTCCCAAACCGATGGAAAATTTTGTTGTATGATATTTTGTGATCTCTCAAAAGCATTTGATTTCGTTTGGCCTAAAGGTATCTATTTAAACTTAAAACATGGGATTACTGGTAGTTTGTATAAATGGCTTGAAAATTATAGGTATCAACGGGTGATATATCGTAACTTGTTATCAACACCCAACCCTTATATGCTGGTGTTCCTCAGGGCTCAGTTTTAGGACCACTTTTGTTTTTAATATATGTGAATGATGTTGCTGATAATATGGTTACTTTTTATAGACTATTTGCTGATGATAATTCTTTGCAGCATTCGTCTCATAATGTGAAAATTATTGAAAGAGACTTAAACAAAGATCTAAATGTTCTGGAACTTTGGTCTAAAAAATGGTTATTGAAATTCAATCCCTCTAAAACTAAAGCAATAATGTATAGTACAAAGAAAAACATAGAATATCCTAAGCTTCTTTTCCAACAATGCCAGCTGGACTTCATCTCTGAACACAAACACCTTGGAGTATTTATTTCACACGACGCTAGTTGTTCACCGCATATTGAAAATCTACTGTCTAATGCATACAAAAAATTATCTCTTTTGAAAAAATTAAAAATTTAAAGTAAATCGAGAAACTCTGACACTCATGTATACATCATTCATAAGACCGCAACTTGAATACGCTTCAGTGGTATGGGGATGCTGTCAACATATTGATAACGATAAGTTAGAACCAGAAGTCTCTGATGAGACTGTAGCTCTAGCTACTGGTCTGTATGTATAACAAAGGAAATGTAGCACTTGGATTTGAAACTTTGCAACATGCAGCAATAAAAAGAATTATGTATCTTAATGTAGTCTACTTGTGTCCCAAGTTATATTGAAATCAAACAAAAACTGTAGGAGGAGTAGCACTTTGAAAGTATATCACAGAAATATCTATTTTAAGTAAACATGGCAACACCATTATTTGAAATCAAAAACCGATGCACTAAATTATGTATCTTAGTGTAGTCTACTTGTGTGCCAAGTTATATTTTAATCAGACTAAAACTGTAGGAGGAGTAGCGTTTTAAAGGAACTTCACAGAATTTTCTATTTTTAGTAACCATGGCAACACCCATCATCGAAATCAAAAACCGATGCAGTAAATTGTGTATCTTAGTGTATTCTTCTTGAGTGCCAAGTTATATTGAAATCAAACCAAAACTGTAGGAGGAGTAGCGTTTTGAAAAATTGTTTACAGACAGACGGACAGCTAGACAGACGGGCGGACGACGGACACCTTACTATCGCATAAGTTCTTCTGGTCTTTGACCAGTAGAGCTAAAAACTGCAACTTTATGCTGCTAGAATTGTAACAGGGTTAACAACTATAGCTTCCAAAGATTCACTCTACTTTGAAACGGGATGGGAACCTCTTAGTTGTAGAAAACAAGAAGCTAGAATAAAAACAATGTTCAAGCTTCATAATAATTTAGTGCCTGAATACTTAATGGACATACTTCCAGATATGCACTTTAACACATATAGGATCTCCCATGATTTGTAGTTGGATATGATTTTTATCCAACGAGTTGTGTGTTTTTTTATCCCCGAGCCTTGGCGAGGGGATAAAAACACACAACGAGTTGGATAAAAGTCATATCCAACTACAAATCATGGGAGATTCTTTTTATCCCATGTTTAATACTTCACAACCAATGTTTTACACTGTTTTATATGTATGACTCCACTTTATTTTATTTCATCACGCTAACGCTAAAACCATTGTGACGTCACAACTGCACTTAACTGTGGAATATGAAAAAATTATCCAATGAGTCATATCCACGGGATAAAGGGGTAAACATGGGATAAATATATTTACTCAACAAGAAATTGTCGAAATTATGATATTCCAAAATGTCGATTACAAACTTATAAGTCTACATTTATTCTGACAGTAGTTAATGAATAGAACTCAGTTCCACTTGAAATTAGAAATTTACAGTCAGTGTCAAAATTCAAATCTATAATTAGTACTAAAAAATCTGCTCCGCCATCATACTTTGATTACGGTAAAAGACGACTAAATGTTCTTCAAACCATACTACGGCATAATTGTGTATTGAATAGCGACCTTTATAGATGCAGTTTAATATCAAGTCCTTTATGCTCGTGTGGAAAAGTTGAGGATACATATTATTATTTATTTTTGTATGTCCAAAGTATGAGAAAGCCAGAAAAGAATTTTTAAAT